GCACAGCCTTAAGTCCTGATTATAACTTGGCGTCTTATTGCCACAGTCTGTCAGTCTTGTGATCACCACTTTAACACTAATGCGGGTCAGTTGTGTCCAAACCGAGTATAACAAGGTGTGTCCAACTTCCCATCCTTTTATGGCCGGAAATTCAATTTTGAAGGTTTCTCTGGGGTCCCCTTGGCCAAGAGGGAGCTCATTCAGTCGGCTGGGACTTACGATTTTATTCTTAGTTTACAACATCAGTAATACAATGAACAGGCAAATCAAACAATGGGAGATATTCACAGTACACGTACCAGACAAAAGCTCTGTATATGGAATATATAAAGGACTTTCACAACCTGGTCCTCAAAAATTGGGCAAAAGACGTCCTCGGACACTCAGAAAACGTGTGCGAATGGCAACAGGTGGGTGGAGTACCCGACACGGGTGAGCATCGGGGAAATGCAAACTAAAGCCTCTGCCACCAAACGGCACTCGGCCCCTCGACTGTGGCGACACACGGAACCACTGGGACTTCCACACCTGGGATGCCGCCTCCCCCAGGCACGTTCCCAAGAAAAACACCACCTGCCCACCAAACGTGCACAAAAATAGGCCCAAGGTCTTCAGACACTGGAAACCCACCCGAGCGCCCTCAGAGACCACGAACCCGCAACAGCGCGTCCCACAGCAGCTCCTCGTGCAACGCCTCAGAGGAAACCCCAAAACGGTTCTCTGTGTGAACCGTGGCAGACGCAAAACCGCCCACACATGTGACTCCTAACACTCAGAGTCAGCGCTCTGGTCCTGCGCGGCGGCCTCCGCGGGTCTCAGGCAGATTCTCCATCACGACAGGAGTCTGGGTTACGCAGGTGACTCCTTTGTCAAAACAAGTTAACTGGACACAAGCTCTGTGTGTTTCACTGCATATAAATTATGCCTCAGTAACTAAATAAACGCATTTTCTATTTTGAAAATCTCATTGGAGCCACAAAGCTACATAACGGGGTGAAAATTTCTACAAGTCAAAGTAAAAGTTAGTGAGAATTTAAATTGTGCTATATACACTGTTTCACCACCCTTATTTTCCCTTAGAAGAACTGGTTTCAGGGCAGGTGTGGTGACTCCGGCCTGTAATCCCAGCATTCTGGGAGGCCGAGGTGGGAGGATCGCTTGAGCCCAGGAGTTCAAGACCAGCCTGGAAGTGAGAGCTCATCTCTACCAAAAAAAAAAAAAAAATAGCTGGGCTTGGTGACACATACCCGTGGTCCCAGCTATTTGGGAGGCTGAGGTGAAAGCTCTCTTGAGCCCCGGAGGTCAAGGCTACAGTGAGCCACGATGGCACCACTGCACTCTACCTGGGCGACAGAGCCAGACCCCGTCTCAACAACAAAGAAGAATTCGTTTCAATGAAAAAATGATGGCTCAGGTCACTGCGATTTTAAATAAGTATCATCTTGCAAAACCACCCTGTAAAAGCAACCACCGGCTGGGGCAGTGGGTAGACCACACCCACGCTCACCGTGACGCCAGCCTCCCGGCAGCAGCCACTGGACAGGGAGGCGGGAGGGCCCGCTGCCGGGCTTCTCACGCTGCCGAACCCCGGTAAACACAGCCCCAGGGGCCGGCTGGAGCTTCCGCTGCACCCGTGTAGCTAATGCTGGTCATCTCCATAGCAAGCAAAGGAAGCCAACGTGAAACGTAGCTTTAAGGGCCCACTGAGAACTGTCCGGGAGCCTTAAACGCAGGCCTCTCTATCTAAAGATCCCCTCTCCTGCTGCGATAGAAAACAAATACCGCGAACCCCTTGATGGGCTGTGAAGGAGACACCCCCTTTGTTGAGGTGCACGGTAGACGCTGCCCACCTACCCCTGGGCTCAGCACACCCCAGTCGGGCTGTTGCCGTAGGTGGAGCAGGGCAGGATCGGGCCCACCCCCCACCAGGAAAGTCAGGCCAGCATCAGGTGATGGTCAGGTGGCTGTTAACTGTCTCTCTCAAAGAACTGGTCGCAGCCAGCGCCAGGGAAAGGCAGCTCCCAATAGCTAGAAAACACCCGAAACCGGTAGCGTGTGCACTGAGAGGCAAAACGGCGGCATGTAACTGGTCTATGACCTTCCAGGGACGTTTGACAGGCAAGGGAAGAACGCCTCAGGTGAGCATGAGCACTACTCCAGTGAACACACGGCGCATGCTCCCTCCCTCCAGGGACCACACCGCGCATGCTCCCTCCCTCCAGGGACCACACGGCGCATGCTCCCTCCCGCAGGGCGCACACGGCGCATGCTCCCTCCAGCAGGGCACACACGGCGCATGCTCCCTCCCGCCAGTGAACACACCGCGCATGCTCCCTCCCACCAGTGAACACAAGGCGCATGCTCCCTCCCTCCAGGGACCACACCGCGCATGCTCCCTCCCTCCAGGGCGACACCGCGCATGCTCCCTCCCTCCAGGGCCCACACCGCGCATGCTCCCTCCCTCCAGGGCCCACACTGCGCATGCTCCCTCCCTCCCTCCCTCCAGGGACCACACGGCGCATGCTCCCTCCCGCAGGGCGCACACGACGCAGTCTCCCTCCAGCAGGGCACACACGGGGCATGCTCCCTCCCTCCAGTGAACACATGGCGCATGCTCCCTCCCTCCAGTGAACACACGGCGCATGCTCCCTCCCTCCAGGGACCACACCGCGCATGCTCCCTCCCTCCAGGGACCACACCGCGCATGCTCCCTCCCTCCAGGGCCCACACCGCGCATGCTCCCTCCCACCTGCAGCAGCCTGCTGCATGGGTGGACAGTCCACCCTGAGGAAGGATCAGGGAAGAAGGGGTGCAAGACCCTAGACGCCTGCCAGCGTATAAAACCCCAAGTCAAAAGGTGAAACCGCGCACCTGATCTCTCACAGTGCCAGCCTGGCCCTCTTCCAAGGGTACTTCCTTTCATTCCTGCTCTAAAGCTTCAACTTTCACTCCTGCTCTAAAACTTGCCTCAGTCTCTCCTTCTGCCTCATGTCCTTCCACCAAATTTTTTCTTCTGAAGCGGCGAGATTTGGGGCCGCTGCTGACATACTTTGGTGCCGCGACTCAGATACATTCTGCAGGTAACAGAGCTCTGCGGGCTCACCTGAGCTCCATGCTCCATCTCAGCACACACAATCCTCAGCCGGAGTGGTGAGAAGCGGTGGCTCTTTCTTTTCTTTGTGAAACAGGCTGGAGTGCATCGTTGTGATCTCGGCTCACTGCAGTCTCCACCTCTGGGGCTCAAGTGATCCTCCTGCCTCAGTCCCTCGAGTAGCTGGGACTGTTAGTGGCAGAACATATCCCACTTCTGACACCAAAGCACGTTAGCAGCAGTGAATCTCAATTCTTCCGTCCTCCGAAGAAAGAATTTGAGCGGCAGGAAGCAGAAGAGACCCAGGCAGTTTTACAACAGGAGCAACAGTTTATGAAGACGCTTTAGAGCAGGAATGAAAGGAAGTAAAGCACCCTTGGAAGAGGGCCAGGCGGGGGACCTGAGAGATCAAGTGCGTGGTTTGACCTTTGACTTCGGGTCTTCTACTGGCAGGCTTCCGGGGTGTGTTACTTCTCCCAGTTCTTCCCTCGGGGTAGGCCATCCTCACGCAC